CTAGTTTTGCATGCATTTGTTATCTTATGTAGCATCACAAAGCACCTTATTGTGTAGATCTGTTTTCACATGGGGAAAAAATCCTATTAAAAGTGTTTCTTGTTCTTCTAAAAATTGTTTTATTTACATATCAGCATTTTGCTTATGATAAATTTGATTTAGGTTTTACTTAAAGCATATGAATTGTGTAGAACTTTTGAACAATAAACATTTAAGTTTTTCTTGTGTAGAATATTGATGCAACATCCAAATGAACTTAATAAGAGGAATGTTGAAACAGATAGGCACGGAATGGAAAATCCATGTTGTGACGCATAACAGACCATTAATTTGAAGATTATTAAAGTAATAACTCTTGTTGGTATTTTCAAATTAGCATCAGATTCTTTGGAATGTTCCCTTTGAATCATACAGAGAATAGCCTGCTACTTTATTAGCTGCTCAAAGCTCTAAACATTAATAGGAAAAAATGCACTTAGGTAATACTTTGATTTGTCTGCCATCTAATTTCTTATTGAAAGTTTTCTTTAGGGCAGTGACTCAAAGTGTGGGGAGGATTCTTCTCTGCACCATTCAAATCAGACACACGGACACTGTCCACAAGAACCAGTGAAGCTCATTCTTTTTTATGTGCGATCATATGGAATGACATGTTTTGTTTTCTTTTGGGGCTGACAAAAAAAGAGAAGCTCTGCTTTAAGCAGTGTCAATTGAATAGGCTCTTGGTTTAACCAGCAGGTGGCAGAGTAGTTCAATACTCTAAAAACTCCATATACTGTATACAGTAATGTGGAATTAATGCAGGAAAATATAGCTACTGAATTAAATTAATCTTATTGATTTTACAATTGCCTACAAAAAAGTTAGAAATTATGTTTTTATGATAGTACTGATTATGTACACAGCATAATTCTATTAAATTTTGAATAAACTCAAAATGTAATATACTAAATACTATTTCTGTTTAAACTGAAATTACTGTTTGAAGCAATTTAAGCTCCCAAGGCTGAACTTCTGTTGTAGATGGAACATTTACACCACTGACAGTCTGATTAGATTAGCAGACATTGGAGAAGCAGCCCTTCTTCATCTCAATCTGTCAAAAGTTCATTCCTTACAGATGGGTATGAGATGAGTCTAAAAAACCTTCAACCAGTTACACACAGAGAAAAGCCACAAGCAACTACACTTATGTCTGTGACAGATTCATCAGTTTTTATCAGATATTTCGGTTTCCTCGGATAAATGTGTATGCTCAAAGAAAAGACAATCCATCGAAAGTTTCACCTAAACATCTCTGTGATCAGATTATCTGCAAGGATTTGTCCCTGTCGCTGATATCACTGCCTCATTTTCAGAGAGATTAATAAAATAAGAGCGGATCAATGTCTAATTTATTTCTATCATACCATAGATAGAGAAGTCAGAGGTCTGTGATTTAGTATTCACCAGCTTGTGACGATACCTGTAATACATATTTAGGTAGTCCAAACACCTGTTTACCATTGTATCCATGTACTGAGGGATTGTGTGTAAGTGATTGGGCTTGCATGCTGCTGTGCTAGGACATAT